CTGGCTGCCGATCTTCGCGGAACCCACTGGGCCACCAGGACTTACAGTTACTGATAGGTAACGTTGGGGTAGGGTTCACTTCTTTCTTTTCAGAGCCACATAAGCCATAAAACTTGTTTTTTGACTAAAAAATGATAGAAAAGACAGCCTTTGACTTTGAAAAAAACGTTTTTAGTGGGCTTCGAACCAACGTCCTTCTGGTTGTCGTGCCAGTGCGGAACCCACTGGACCACCATGATATACCATTAGTGTCAAGTAATGTTTGTGATATGGTTAACTTCTTTCTTTTCAAAGCCACATAAGCCAGCAAACTCGTTTGTAATCTAAAAAATGCTTCAGTGAGATTCGAACTCACTATCATCTAGTTGTCGGGCCGGTGCGGAACCCACTGGACCACCCGGACTTTTCTTTGATGTAATGTTATGTTTGTGGTAGAGTTCACTTCTTTCTTTTCAAAGCCACAAAAGCCATAAAACTCGTTTCTTGACTAAAAAATGATAAAATAGACAGCGTTTGACTTTGCAAATATAAAAAAAATGTTTCAGCGGGATTTGAACACACGACCTCATGGTTGCCGATCCATTGCGGATCCCACTGGACCACCAGTATTTACCGTTAGTGTCAAGGATAGGATAGGATAGGGTTCATTTCTTTCTTTTCAAAGCCACATAAGCCATAAAACTCGTTTGTTGACCAAAAATGATAAAATAAATACTTTGCTTGACTTTAAAATTTATAAAAATGCTTCAGTGGGATTCGAACACATGTCCTTCTGGTTGTGGAGTCAGTGCGGAATCCACTGGACCACCAGGATTTACTGTTAATATTTGGTAATGTTGGGGGTAGGGTTCACTTCTTTCTTTTCAAAGTCACATGAGCCATAAAACTCGTTTTTTGACAAAAAAATAATAAAATATATAGTGTTTGACTTTGCAATTATAAAAAAAAAGTTTCAGGGGATTCGAACACACGACCTCCCGATTGCCGAGTCAATGAGGAGTTCACTAGACCAACTGGACTAACCATTCGTGCCAAGTAATGTTTGTGATAGGATTAACTTCTTTCTTTTCAAAGTCACATGAGCCATAAAACTCGTTTTTTGACAAAAAAATAATAAAATATATAGTGTTTGACTTTGCAATTATAAAAAAAAAGTTTCAGGGGATTCGAACACACGACCTCCTGATTGCCGAGTCAATGAGGAGTCCACTGGACCAACTGGATTAACCATTCGTGCCAAGTAATGTTTGTGGTAGGATTAACTTCTTTCTTTTCAAAGCCACATAAGCCATAAAACTCGTTTCTTGACCAAAAATGATAGAATACATAATGTTTGACTTCGCAAAATAAGAAAAATAAAAATCTTCAGTGAGATTCGAACATTTAACCTTTGAATTGCCGCGCTAGTGCTGAATCCACTGGACCACAGGATCTTCCATTGATATCAGTTAATGTTTTGGGTAGGGTTAACTTCTTTCTTTCAAAGCCACACAAGCAAGAAAACTCGTTTGATGGAATAGACTATAAAAAAAAATTAACAGTTTCAACGGGATTCGTCTGGAAAAAATAAGGCCATGGTCATTTAGGTTTTTGTGTAGCTAGGGTTGGGGTAGGGAAGACGTCTTTCTTTCCAAAGCCACTTGGACTAGATCGGTCAGGAAAAAAATTTGAATAGGCAAAAATAAAAAATAGAAAGATGCTCTTTGGCCAGTTTTTATGCCAGTCAAAGGAAACGGATATAAGTTAAAACGTGTCAATCAAATATGTCAAAACATGTCCATCAAATAAGTTAAAACATGTCAATCAAATAGGCCAAAACATGTCAATCAAATAAGTCAAAACAATTATGTCAATCAAATATGCCAAAACATGTCCATCAAATAAGTCAAAACAATCATGTCAATCAAATATGCCAAAACATGTCCATCAAATAAGTCAAAACAATCATGTCAATCAAATATGCCCAAACATGTCCATCAAATAAGTGATAGAACAGACAGCGTTTGACTTTGAAAAAAAGCTTTCAGTGGGATTCGAACACACCACCTCCTGGTTGCTGAACCAGTGCGGAACCCACTGTGCCACCAGGATATACCGTTAGTGTCAAGTAATGTTTGGGGTAGGGTTCACTTCTTTCTTTTCAAAGTCACATAAGCCATAAAACTCGTTTTTTGACTAAAAAATGATAGAATAGACAGCGTTTGACTTTGAATAAAAAATCTTCAGTGGTATTCGAACACACCACCTTCTAGTTGTCGTGCCAGTGCGGAACCCACTGAACCACCAGGATTTACCCTTAATGCCAGGTGATGTTTTGGGAAAGTTTAACTTCTTTCTTTTCAAAACCACATAAGCCATAAAACTCATTTTTGACCAAAAATGATAGAACAGACAGCGTTTGACTTTGAAAAAATAGTTTTCAGTGGGATTCGAACCCACGACCTTCTGGTTATCGTGCCAGTGCGGAACCGACTGGACCACCAGTATTTACCGTTAGTGTCAAGTAATGTTTTGGGGTATGGTTAACTTCTTTCTTTTCAAAGCCACATAATCCATAAAACCCGTTACTTAACTAAAAATGATAAAATATATAGTGTTTGACTTTGAATAAAAAAAATTATCAGTCGAATTTGAACACACGACCTTCTGGTTGTCGAGTTAGTGTGGTATCTAATGGACAACCAGGATTTACCGTTAAATGTTTTTGGAAAGTTTAACTTCTTTCTTTTCAAAGCAAATTTGACCAGAAAACTGGTTTGTAATCTAAAAAATGACAAAATATACAATGCTTGACTTTAAAATTTAAAATAATGCTTCAGTGGGATTCGAACTCTTATCCTTCTGGTTGCTGTGCCAGTGCGGAACCCACTGGACCACCAGTATTTACCGTTAGTGTCAAGTAATGTTTTGGGGTATGGTTAGCTTCTTTCTTTTCAAAGCCACATAAGCCATAAAACTCCTTTATTGACTAAAAATGATTTTTTTTTTCAAAATATGATTCCGTGGGATTGAACACACGACCTTCTGGCTGCCGATCTATCGCGGAACCCACTGGGCCACCAGGACTTACAGTTACTGATAGGTAACGTTGGGGTAGGGTTCACTTCTTTCTTTTCAGAGCCACATAAGCCATAAAACTTGTTTTTTGACTAAAAAATCATAGAAAAGACAGCCTTTGACTTTGAAAAAAACGTTTTTAGTGGGCTTCGAACCAACGTCCTTCTGGTTGTCGTGCCAGTGCGGAACCCACTGGACCACCAGGATATACCGTTAGTGTCAAGTAATGTTTAGTGATATGGTTAACTTCTTTCTTTTCAAAGCCACATAAGCCATAAAACTCGTTTGTAATCTAAAAAATGATAAAATATACAGTGTTTGACTAAGCAAAATTAAAAAAAAATGCTTCAGTGAGATTCGAACTCACTATCATCTAGTTGTCGAGCCGGTGCGGAACCCACTGGACCACCCGGACTTTTCTTTGATGTAATGTTATGTTTGTGGTAGAGTTCACTTCTTTCTTTTCAAAGCCACAAAAGCCATAAAACTCGTTTCTTGACTAAAAAATGATAAAATAGACAGCGTTTGACTTTGCAAATATAAAAAAATGTTTCAGCGGGATTCGAACACACGACCTCCTGGTTGCCGATCCATTGCGGATCCCACGG